GGGGGGGGGGTTCCTTCTACTTCCTTCCTTACCTTGAGGTATTGTAAGTTTGCTGCTAAAATCACATAAAGCATCCTTGCAGTAGGTGTTTCAGCAGTAATGACCTTTTTTTTCCTGTCAAACCATGATTTTTAACAAAAGGTTAACCTAGTCAAACAGTGGCATAAAACATAGGTAGTCTTCGCAAGTAACTAGTATGGCCAGCTAAAAGAAACCTTTCCTCTAGTATAATATGAATAATGCATTCCAGAAACACAAAGAGATTGAACTTCCCTTGTTGCCGATTTCAGATTAAATGACTTGCATTATGTAGTACACAATGACCTGGATCCAGGCTGCAGGATAACCTCCCCGTTCTCTTTGTCCTCCAGGGATTTAAGTCATAATCACTTACTGTCATCTAACTGGAGCATTGAAGTGTCTATTCACACGCTGCAAGAAGTGTAAGTTAATCAAGTTATTGTTTGTTTTAAATAATTAAGTGCAGAGTTCCTGCATATTCCTAATTAGTTTCTAAGCTAGGGCTCCTAACGCATGTCAAGAGGCTTGGTCTGTATTACTGAAAAATATCTGAAGCAAGGTAGAAGAGGTGGCCTCCTTTGTGTCCCCCCCCTTACCCGCATGCTACATGCTAGGTCAGGAGTTGTTCACCTGTAGAGAGAGGCCTCTTCTAGCAGGACTAGCACCAATTGCATTGTTTAAAAACAGAAAGCAGGCATTGGTTTTTGAGCATTGTTAAGTTTTGATCCTGCTAAACTAATTTACGTACAGGGTAAGACGACTTCTTCCTATTATTCTCTTCAGATTTGTTCCTATGCTTGGTGTTAGGAAGTCTCTTAGCTTTATCCACTGCTGAATGTCATGAATACAGCTGGAGGGTTTACAGTGCTGTGGTGTCGGGGGAAATGTTTATCAGTTACCCTGCTGTCTAGAATGGCTTTTTTCCTTTTTAAAATGCCAGTAAAGAAATCTCTCTTTCAGGAAGATGAATTACAATGAGCTAAGTGAAATTCCGTACTTTGGAGAACCAACTTCAAATATTACTCTTCTCTCATTGTAAGTAAATATTTATTTAATGACGTTGAAAAATTACTTATTTATCTTAAAGAAGTGGGGAAGATTGAAAGAAGTTGAAAACCAGATTAAACCCCCCCCCCAAACTTCTTTAAACATCTCAGAATTATAGTGTCAGGGTCAATGTACTTTCCTCTTTAAAAAAACAAACAAACAAACAAACAAAAAAAACCCACCCCAAAACCAGCAGCCCCTATTAAGTGAAATGCAGTCGAGTGGGTGTCCCCTTTGTCATCTTGTCATGAGAAGTGTGTGGTTTTGCTGCAGTGGAGGAAATGTTTTCCAAATTCAAAATCTCCCTGCAACTAGGCCCCCAGAATTCAAACCTTGCTTTAAAAAAGCAGCCAACAGACTGTAGCCCTCAGGGTGGCAGGGAGGGGCTGTGCCAGGATGCAAAACACATCTGGCTCTGTTCATTTGCACTCTGAAGCACACGTTAAGTCTCTCATCCAAAGCCCTATAGCTAGTTGTGGTGCGGAGCTCAAAGTGTGGTCCAGTGATTGTCCTTATGTTGCTCTCTGTTGCTTGTAGAGTTCACAATACCATTCCAGAGATAAATGCCGAGCAACTCCAAGTTTATCTTTCACTGGAGAACCTAGATCTTAGCTTTAACCTCATCTCGGAAATTAAAGCGTCTTCGTTCCCGCGAATGCAGTTGAAGTACCTGTAAGTATGAGGGTTGGTCTATGACGTGCTGAAAACACAAGGTTAGGTTGTCACAGACTAGTGCCCCCACCTCCTGCCCCCCCCGTTTTTTCCCTAGTGGCTTGGGTTGGGAGCCAGGAGCTGATCCAGATGACTTTGTTGACTTGCCATGTGATTCTGATCCTTATCCATGTAACTACCCTGAAGTGCCTCTGCTCTGCATAGAGAAGTGATGGTCCCTTGCCCAAGGGAGCCTGAGAGTTGAAGGGCTCATCTACACTAGGTTTGTTTACAGATGGCAGAGTCATGGTGAACTGTGCACCTAATGATGCGATTTCCACCCCCGCTCCACTGCCTTTCTTTAAATTCATTATACACATTGAGACAAGGTCTTAATCATTCTTTCCTCACGTAGTGCTGAAAATTATTTTTATCTTCTTGGCCCTGGGAGAAGTTGTGTGTGACATCAGAAAGCCTGTTTCTGACGACCAGCAGGGGGAATGGGTGGCCTCCTTACAAACACTGGTTCTTGCTCATCTTGGGCAGGTTGTTTAACTGCTTTTTGTCTTAGTCATGCCTGTTTTTTAGAGAATTGGAGGGGAGTGGGGGGAATGGGAATCATTTGCCAGCTGTTCCTTTGGGAAGACAAGTTGAATTGTGATACTGCAGCTGAAATCCCCAACACTGGGGACCTGACAGCTTTGCAAGAAATCTTTAGGTTTAGTGCGAGTTAGTGAGTCTGAGTCGTATGTGGTATGTTTAGTAGTTTTTTCTAAGTTCCAAAATTCTTTTCTTCTCCCCTCCTAGGAATCTGAGTAACAACAGAATAACTACCCTGGAAGCGGGTTGCCTTGATAATCTTTCCAGCTCTCTAATGGTGGTGAAACTGAACAGAAATCGAATCAGCGCGATTCCACCAAAGATTTTCAAATTGCCTCATGTGCAGTTCCTGTAAGTGGAGGCCCCTGGCCCAGTATTTACATTTGTATCACTCACTAGAGCACCTATTCTTGGTGGATGCAGAAGTGTTGCTGAAGATGTCTTGATACATACAGCTATCTTCTCCCCCCCGCCCCCCCCCCTTTTTTTTTTAAGGGAACTTAAAAGGAACCGGATTAAAACAGTGGAAAGTCTTACATTCCAGGGTCTGGAATCTTTAAAGTCATTAAAGATGCAGCGTAATGGGATTAGCAAACTTATGGATGGAGCATTCTTTGGCTTGGATAATATCGAAGAACTGTAAGTGTGTTTGGTCTGGAATTTTTGTGTTGGGGGTCCTGGTTGCAGCTCTGGGAGTGGGCCAGGGTCCATGGACAGTAGTGCATATCTCCTACCATCTTTCCACTTCACCTGGGTGATCCAGAGCATGTTGCCCTCTGGTTGACTCTTTCTGCTACTTCACTAAGGCTTCGCAGTCTCCTGGCTGTTGAACAAATTGTGTCCACCCATAGTGGATTCCAGTCAGTCCCTGCAGCCTCAGTATTGTCGTTGCCAGCCAGCTGTTGGTGCTGCCTTACAGCAATAATTATCTAATTTTGTTTTCCCCTCCCCAACCTCCTGAGGAATGGTACTCCAAAGAACAATACATAATGGAACAGGGTCTGACCGATTATCTGATGATGGCATTATAAATAGGATGGCCTTCCAACTGAGGTATGGGTTCAGTGTCTTAGCTGTATTAGTGTCCGACATTAGCCAAGCTGTGCTTCCGAAAATTTCAGTGGAGTCATTTTTGTAAAACAAGAAGCCATTTTCCTCAAGCAGCAAGAGCAGGGGAGAGATGACGGGAACCTGGATTGGCTGCTCATTCGCAGTGACCTTGGTCTAGTCACTTAACCTTTCGGTGGTGTGTGTGGTGGGTTTGGGTTCCTTGTTAACTAAGTGGACTCTCTAAACTAGGTGTGTTCATGTCTGTCAGGGTGTTAGAGGGTTCAGTGTTAATAAATTACTTTGAAATCCACAGATGGGGAGTACTGCAAAAATGTGTTGCCTCATTGAATATCTGTTTGAAAAATGTTTTCTCTAATTCTTTAGAGAGCTGGAACATAATAACCTGACTGAAGTAAACAAGGGCTGGCTGTATGGCTTGCGGTCGCTGCAACAGCTCTGTGTTAGTCAGAATGCCATTAACAGGATCAGCCCAGATGCATGGGAGTTTTGCCAGAGACTTTCTGAACTGTAAGTGCTGGGCTGAATTTCAGTGGGGCTTTTGTGATGTTACCAAGAACAGATTGGATTGAACATGTATAGCAAGAATGAAGACTGCTGAAGAAAGTTCACAGTCCCCTTTTTAGGCCTTTGTGGAAAACTGCATAATTTGTAATGAAAAGCTTGTGAGAATAAGTCTGAATAAGGGGATTTAATTCCTCAAGGTCTACCATTTGATGTTTTTACCTTCAGTTGGTCCTTCCTCCCCACCCTCTTACAGTGTACTTCTGATGTTTGTAGGGACTTGTCATACAACCAGCTGACCCGCCTGGATGAATCTGCTTTTGTGGGACTCAGCTTACTGGAAAAATTAAACCTGGGTGACAACCGAGTCAGTCATATTGCAGATGGTGTCTTTAAAGGACTGTCAAATCTTCAGATTCTGTAAGTACAGGCGGGTGCTAATTTGCTTTGAAAATAAAGGCAGCAATGGCCATGAATGCTGCTGACACAGGAATCTAATGCACTAAATAGACTGGAAGTTTTTGTGGCTGCTGGGATTCCACTTTGCCTTCAGTGACAGCAGGGTCTGCAGGGGCCCAGACTTGAGGCTGTATTTCGAGAAATAAATACATATATAAATAAAGCAGATTTAGTGCGGGTGGAAAGCAGGAGTTCAGCCTCCCTCGAGAGCATCCTGTGAACCCACAGAACTAATTAATGCATACCACCAGTGACAGACTTATCTCACCACCTTTGGAAAGGGAGGTAGTGTGGTCATCAAAGTCTTGTAAGTGCTAGTTATGGGGATAGCCTGTCAGTCTAGGCTCCATATGCCAATTTAACTTCTCATTGTGTATCATTTGGGCACCAAGGACCAAAAACTCAAGCTGGCTAGAGGTATGCAGTGCCATCTCCATTTGAAGACAGGCTTTCTGCGACAGCTTTACTGAGTATTCCTAATGACAGTTTAACACTTCTGATAAAATACAAGTCCATCCTGGCACTTACTGACAGCACGCTCAGTAGATCTGAACCCTCTAACTTTCCTAAACAGAGCTCATTGGAAAAAGAGCTGAAGTTTTATAACCATTCTGTTTCTTAATTAAGAAGTGCCTAAATAGGCGAAATCACCAAAGGGACTTATGTAAGCAGTCATATTCCGTTAACCTTAGTGCAACCTTTTAATGGAATAATTAAAACTAATCCCTTGGATTTAGAGTAGCATGAAAAAGAACAAGAGCAGATTAATTAGTAGATTTGGTTGGGCTCTTAAGGGGCATCAAACAGCTGACAGACAGGCCACTTGGTTCAGGATGGTGGAATGTTCTCAGACGAGGGGCAGTGGTGATGAACAAGGCTCCAAGCATTCATGCCTAACCAAGCATGAGGAGCAAACTGTTGGTGCACACAATGAGGTTCTATTTTTCTCTTGGGCTGTTGAGAAGGGGGCAGGGGTGTTTGTTCACATGGTACAGGTAAGTGCAGTTACTTCAAGCGTGCAGAATAATAGTCAAATTATTTCCATTGTTGTCCCCTGCCTGCCTGACATTTCAGTGTTAAGACTGGCTTAAAACTGCTCTTTGTACCTGGTGCTTTTACACCCCACTTTTTTTCCTTGAAAGGTAGTGTGTGTGGTTACCATAGAGAAACTGCAGATTATATGTGGGTTATAAATGCATTAGATTAACAGGAGCAGAACAGATTACATCTAAGAACAGAGTAGAAGTTCCGAAGTTTTAAATCTTACCGCCTTGCATTATTGTGATGGACTTGGCAGGAACACTACACCAGCACTAGCAATGCAAAGGTCTGGAATGGGCAGACCCTCAGAGAACTCCAGAAGCAAGTTTTCCAGCTGGGAGACTTGGTTAGTATCTCTGAATAGATGTACCCCCAGGCAGTGCCACTTATTTGGAATGCACGTTTTATCAAGAACCTCATATCTATGATCCAGCATGAATATGTTACAAAATACAAACCAGTCTGTAAGGGAGCGCTCTGATTTGGCATTCATATAAATTACTACTTGTGCTAGATTGTGTGGTCTTGGCTTATAGTAGAGAGCATTTCTGCTCATTGGAGTCAGTGAAATTACTTGTGAGCACGTGCTTGTCAACATGAGTAAAGGTGGCAGAGGTCAGACCCTCGTTAATAATATTTGCCCGGTGGAATTCTGGATGCTCTTAATTAGTTTTCCTTTAAACTCATTCTGAATAGAACAGACAGATCTGTATTGTGGAAGATGCTGCTGTAGGT